AGAAGACAGATACAAAGACAGACTGTCCAATCATAAAGACTCATAGGAAAAAAATCTTAAGGTATTTCCCGGTGTATTAAGCTCTGAGATTCCCAAAGAACAAGTTTAATCGCATTTATGAGAAGTGATGTGTTGTGCTCTTTGTTGTGACAGATGATGAAGTTTTCTTGCATTAAGTGCTGCCTTGTTTCTAATCATAATTCCTGAAGTTTTCAAGTTACAGGATTTTACTATGGAGTGGAATAGAGAATAGACCAAATGCCTTTTCATTGTCCAAAGATCACATTTTTTTTTGCATCTCTCTTCTGGGTGACTAAAAATAATGGGAAGATTTGAGGCTTAAAAATTTTGCATCCAATTCTTTTGGAAGTTGTGGGTGTTATAGGATGAGTAGAACTTCATTTTTAAGAGTGTTGGGAGAATTTTTTTTCCTTACCCGGGTCAGTTTTCAGGGATATCTCTTTGGTTTGGCTCAGATAATTAATAGAGGAATGAGAGTTTTTCTAAATCAGAACATGCAGGAAAGATTTAAAGTAACATACTGATTATATAATTAATTCTCAGTTGAAAATTCATTTTGATGGTGTTAATTCTCTCCCAGAGGTTCAAAGCTAGTTTATTGCACCTACGGTGTTCGACTTGCTGGAAACACAGGGGAGAAAATGGGGCTCTGAGAAAGGAAGAGCTTGCCTTCTGATTTATTCTTTATGGCCTTTGTTTTTTGTTTTTGTTTTTTTTAACAAACAGCAGCTATACTATGCTGTGGGCACTTTATTTGTCTTTAATGCGGCTGTTTATAAAACTTAGTCCAAAAGACTTGATCCATTTGATGTCTTCTAGAAAAGGAGATAATTTATAGAAAGGTGATCGACCTTGCATTCATCTTTATCTGATTGCTATTTCAAGTTACAAATTTAGAGTTCGTTTTTTGCAGTCAGTGCTATTTTGTCCCCCCTTTTAGTATTTTTAAGGGAATTTTATGAGATGTGAATGGTGGGCTTCTTCAGGTTTTTGAATGACAAGTAAAATCCTCTTCTTTTTCAAATGGAAAAAAAAAACCCAGTGGAAATCGATGTCTAATCCCCACCATGGTGTCCACTTGCACAACCTGACCAGTGACCATCTCTACTGTTTGATTGCATACATATAAATCATGAGCCTGCATGAGAAAAGGGAAATGCAAACACAGGCACAGGGCGCACCGGGTGGCTTTCTCCGTGACTCATTCCCTTCCTCGGCCTTTCTGGCGGCTGCCGCAGATGTAATGTTGTGTTTGCTAAACTATGTTACCACCACACTCCCCGGTTCAATCTGAAATGTGTAAATAAAAGCAGTGTGGTGCAGGGAGCTGCCAAATGATCTTTCCTGCAACTCGGGGTGACATGAGTAGACTTGTCCCGAAGATCATTTCTTTGGAGACTTAAATTAAACCATTATTCTTTCAACCAGACAAAAGGCAGCCCTTCTTTGTCCTTTCTCCCCCCTTCTTGAAGGGGAAGGACTTAGGAAACACCTGGAGAGTAATCCAGGTTGTTAATAATGTATCTGATAGGGTTTCGTGTTCTCACCATATGCCCATCAGGGCAAGAATTATGGTCCCCATTTTTCCTGATGGTGCAACTGGGACTCAAAAGATAGTTACAGCTTTCTCTGAGTAGGATCTGTTTGGGTATGTTTCCCAAGGGTTTGAGTGCTAGGAACTGGGTCCCCAGTGTGACAGTGAGCAGGAGACTCATGGAAGGGAATTGGGCCATGATGAACCACCCGGGGAAAGTGAGTGATGCTAACCCTGTGGAATGAGTGGTTGCTAGACTGGTTGTCATAACACAAGGGCATGCCACGTTCTTGGTCCCTGCTGTGCAAGGCCCACGCGGGTGGTAAGCTCAGTCATCCAAATCATCATCCAAATAAACCTCTTTACTGGGCACATCAGCAAGCCTCCCAGACTTTGCTATAGCCCCACAAGTGGTCTAATACAAGTTCAAAGCCACTAGATCACAGGGTCTTATAAATCATAGTCCTTATTTTGACCCATCAGTGTAAGCTGGGTTACTTTTGACCCTCTTATACACATGTGGGCCTTATTCTTGCCCTACACGCATCCATGTGTTCATCAAACATGCATCTCGAGTACCGAGGAGGAGGTACCGCCATGAGTGGTTGGTGCTGCTGATAACCAGGTCAGATAGCGCAGTCTGGCTTTATCTGCTGGTCCATCAGTTCAAGTGGGGACATAGGGTAGCAGAATGGGAAGGTTGTGGAGAAAATGAACGAAAATATAAATAGCATCCTCCTCTAGGACAGAAGCTACCATGTCTTGCAACGTACACACAGACGGTGTCCAAAGGCATCTAGGCATTTCAGAGAACAGAAACGATTACAGTCTTAATCCTCATATAGGCTCAGATGGACAGTTCTTCTTCTCATCTATCAGTGGCAAAGTCTTGTGTAGGACTTCTCCTGAGTGGGGAGGAATACAGGGGTAAGCCACCGGCGCCTGGCTTGAAAAGTATTGCTTAATGATGATCTACACTGGAGTCAATTAAGGTGTCAATTTAATGACCATTTAGTGTAGCTCTGAAGATGATTAAGAACAATTTTGTGAAGTATTACAAGTGAAAAGGTGACATTAGAAATTATATTGTTAAAATAATCCTGGCATGGGATTAGAGACAGATTGGACTAAAATGCCACTAGGTGTCATTTAAACTGTTCACATGACCATCGTGACCAGTTTGTCATTTTAATGTGCACAATTTAGGTTTCTGTTTTGCTTTGAAATAATGGGCTTAAGAAAATGAAATGGAATAATAGAGTTCCACCAATACGATAAAACCAAGTTGTTTTATTAAAACAAAAATTACATGCAGTTGATTACTTTCTTAAGAGTAAACGGAACTGGATGATGAATTATTATTATTTTTTTACCCTGGATTATAGTAAGGCCCTTTTAACCTAGTCTTTGGATTCCAAATAGTGAAACTAAAGCATCAAATTCATTAAAAATGAAAAGGACTTTGTCAAAATCATTTATTGGTCTGGTCTTACTAATTCATGAATCCTCTCTTTACAACCAAGTCTGCAGTATTTGGTTGTTGCATAGGCAAAAATAAAAAAAAATAAAAAATCAGGCAATTAAAATAGGAAGTTTTTTTTTTATTAAACTGAACCACATGGAAATTTGAGCCATTTTTCCAAGAAATTGTTTTGACCTAAATGAGTTTCTGTAGAAAAGAGGAAACCACTTTTGCCCTTTGGGTCAAATTCCCCAGTGCTTTCAAATGTGCCTTTTCTAAACCCGGGCACTTATGGAGGAGACAGAGATGGGTTTTCATCATTGTGTTCATGAATAGATGTCAGCAGTTGGCTGAACATAAATGAGGTCGGTCTGGCTGCATATCTAATTTTTAATACAAACTGCTTAGGCGAATTATAGTAAAGGAGGGGAGGAAAAAAAAGAATTTAAAACTAGGATAAAAATGCAAGTGTCTTGCAAGTTTGGTATTGTGAGAAGGAATGATGAGCCTCATTTTTTTCTTCCTATATTAACTGGTTGGTAGGGGAAAATCAAAGGAGGAGGCAACACTGCTCGATAAAAAAATGTACTCATTACCTTACTCATGTAACTAACCCCTCTGTACAGTATTTTTACAATAAAAAAGTGTTAAAAAAAGAAATACAGAATAAATGGCTATGTAAGAGAACAGACTAGCTGGGAAGAAGTCCCTCAAGTCATTGTAGACCCCAGTACTTCAAGAGAGAAGGTAATAATACTACGTTCTAGCCCGGCCTTTGTCTTTGGTCTTTTTTACCCATAGCCTCAGAAACAAGGGCAGATAAAAGAAGGGGAGCTAGTGTTTTTTTATATCATCACCCAATTTGTGCTGTTATTGACAATCGCTCAAGGGCGGTGGGTAGTGTTCCATTTCATGATTCCAGTTTAATGAAGCCAAAAACATAAGATGAATATCATGATTTTTTCCCCCTCTTGATGCACTGGGAATATGATAGGACTCACCTCCTAAACTTAGAAGCATTTGCTTATTAGCCTCCTGTAAGTTGAACCCAAGTAAACTTCTCATTAAGAAAGACCATATCTGGAGTTGAGACTTGAACCTGAGTAGCGATGAGCCAGAGGGGCAGGAGCGATGAAATTATCTCACCCCAAGTATGGTGTGGCTCGAGGAGAAGTTAGGAGATTTTCGCAGAAGAGAAGAAATTAGGGAATTTTCTTTCCTTGGCCATTTGCCTAATGTCTAGATTATGTTGGTAACATTCTGTTTATGTACCATGGTACAAGCACATTTAAAGTCTGTGTATACAAGTTGGGGAGGATGCTCTTAGAAAGCAGAAATCCATCGCCATCGAAGAATTACAAACCGAGGAAGATGAGCTTCTAATTGCTCACGCTATCGTGAACACATGGACGACTCTCAAATGTCCTTGCACAAATGATGTGGGAGGTTGGGGTCCAGGGCCATGCATGATCCAGTTGTTTCAAGCAGGGTCTTTTGGTGTTTGCCCAACAAAGAGGAATGACTGGAATGTTCTTCAGACCTGCCAATGGCTGGCCACATGATATAAAATGGCAGCAGTTTGAGTAAGAAACCTCAGTGTGAAGGAGCGTGTTATGTGTATCTCCAACATATCCTTGCGGTGGGAGCAGTTCTGCAGGACTGCAAGAGAAGAGGGTTCTTGAGATGACATTGAGAAGAAGGGCAAGCACGGAGTCCTCTTGGCTTAGACCCTGTGGAATTCTGCAGGGGAAGGTCCAGGCCACCCAGGCCCAGAAGCGAAGCCCCTGGTTTCTAGGGGTTTTGACCTGTCACCACCTACTAGCTTGGATAGAACAGAGGCAGCTGGTGATAATAAAGCAACAAGTTGTGATACATTAGACACATAAAACTCTGTTGGTTAAATTCTGATACCGTTGCCTGAGTTCTGGAGAGGCACAATAAAATATGCATTGGCTACGTTCAATCTCGCTTCTGTCTCCCCAGGAATCTGAGAAAAAAGGGTTCATTGAGAGACTCTATATGGTCCAGGATATTGTCTCCACTGTCCAAAACATCTTGGAGGAAGTAGCGTCTTTTGGAGAAAGAATTAAAAAGTAAGTTGTTGTGGTGCATGATGTGGGGTAGAAAGTAGATCAGGGATGGTGGGAGGAGGGGACCAAGAGGCCAGAGGAGTTACAACGCAAACGAAAGCAGGAGCATCATACCAGCCTGCTTTGATGTGGGTTGGCTTGTGTGTTGAGCTTGTCAGCTTCACGGTTGGGTGTCCCCTTGGAATTGGGGTGACCATATGGCTCACTGTACGTGAATTGTCTCAGGGTGACTATTAATAGTGTCCCCTTTCATTCTCCATCATGCCCTGGTTTGGGTGATAGATTCTGGGATGTAAAAATAGGTTACCCTCTTCCTCAAGGATGCCCTCAGAGAGCCTTTCTCATGGGCATCCCAAATTGCAATGGGTGTCGGGCATGAAATCTTTCTCTGGATGATCTGAGAAGGGGACACATGGCTCGCTGCACCCCTGGATGGATGCCTGGGCCTTGATTCACCGTGTACAGGGGTGTCTCAGCATGGCAGTGGGGCAGGTCGTGCCTTGTAGACAAGACTTATCCTTATATAAGCCATGTGGTCCGTGACACATACAACTCTGTCCATCGGAGGGCAGAAGCTGTCAGCTGGTATGTAGTTAGACATAGAAACCCCCCAAAAAACAACAAAACCAAATCAAACCAGGAGAGCCTTGACTCAAATCCAACCCAAGAGAATTCTTTCTCCAGGAGACCAGATGCTGGAGGAAGTCTGATTAGTACAGAGAGGTTAATGAGGGGGGAGGGAGGAGAGGGAGAGAGAGAGAAGAAAAAATGAACACTACGATTTCTCAGTATCCCTGAGGACAAGATCACAGCTGGCAAAGCAGGGGTGAATGAGGGCTCTAGTCAATGGGGGCCCTTTGTCCAGGGGAGGGGATTGAACAGCCCCCTGACATAGGGAGTGGACTGTGGCAGTGTCTGGAGATGAGGTTTATCATTCAGAGTCTTGAGTGGAAGGAAAAGCCCCTTCATACAGAAGGGAGAAGGGTAAGAGGAGGCTCTGAAGTGGGGGCAAGGCCCAGGAAGGAAGATCATGTTGTGTGTGTGTGGTGGGGGTGGGGGAACACGGTCCCCATTCTTCCGTCTCTCTAAAACACAACTGTGCCTGTTGTGTGGTGGATAATGTTAAAGGAAATGGGTCTGAGGAGAGAAGAGGGCAGCGTGATTTAAAGAGGCTCTCAGCGTTTAAGAGCGCTTTCTGAGGGGGCAGCTGTGCCCGGTGCAGCTGTGGCGGCCATGGCGGAGATGTGTTTTCAGCCACGAACAGAGAGTCCTGTTGTGCCCAGCTGCTCCTATTAATTCTCTGGCCATGCATGATCGCGGTGACCTTAACGTCCCCGCTGCCCATTCAAGTGGGACTTGGTGTGTCATCCGGTTGGAATTCTATTGTAATTCAGTGCTTAAGAACTAGGAAAACTTTTACCCTAAGTTTTGGCAACTAACAGTCTCTTGGAGCAAGTTTCATGGCTACGGATGGGGGGAAAGCTCCAATGGCGCTATATTGACAGGGAATACCTGATGTCTTCTTCTTTTATTCCTTCCTGTACTTTGTGTAAGTACCTCTTCGAATGTGATACAGACGTCAAATGTACGTATGACATAATGACTCAACATAGAGCGTTGATATGCTCGAGATGTCAGGTAGGCCAGGTAAGAGCGGCGATGTACTGGTGTATGTTCTGGTCTGATGGAGTAATGGCTCCAGCCACGGTGTCCTTGAGTAGCTACAAAATCTCCAAGGAGGAAGGAGAGAACAAGATTCACATGGATCTAAGAGAACAGGGAAATCACGCCAGCACATGTTTCAGGGCTCCATGTAGAAATCACATTCAAATGGGATGAAGCTAACCTGCCCCAACCTAGAAGGGAAGTGGAGATTGCCTGGGCGAGGAAGATGGGCAAGCAGGTTACAAGCAAATCGAGAGCAGGGGAGGGAGAGGATCATGCGTTTGGTCTCATCTGAGAATCACCTGTCGGAAAGAACAATCATGAAGATAGAAAGACCCAGGGGGCGTCTGGGGTCCAGGGCTCAGGTATAAGGAGAGTTTACAACCTCATGTGAAAACTGTGAATGAAAGCACACACAGGGACAATATTACAATATTACAACAGACAAGTCCAAAGTGGGGTGGTGGAATGTGTATCTATCTATCTGACTATCTATCTATCATCTATCTATCTATCTATCATCTATCTATCTATCTATCTATCTATCTATCTATCTCTCTGACTATCTATCATCTATCTATCTATCTATCTATCTATCTATCTATCTATCTATCTATCTATCTATCTATCTATCTATCTATCCCTCTGTTTCCATCCATCATCAGTTATCTGTCTCTTTGTGTCTGTGTGAGGAATTCAGAAGACTTCATTTGTCCCTGCCTAGGAGTCAAGGAAAGGAATCACCACATTGGCCCAACCATGAAAATAATGAGGGCAGACAGGTTGGAGAGGAGCTAGGCACTGCTTTTGGGATGTGTGCACCATCATTAATTAATTAATGCCAATTGTATCTTTATTTACACTTTGGTGAGCCTATGTGGTTGAATGACTGAAGGAGGAACTCAATATTCCCTGGCCCCCTTCCCCCCCATTTGTTTCATGTCTCCTTAATTCAGTCCTTCTTAAAATGTGTGGAGCTCCCATGGGAGGAAAATTGATGAGCCTGTGAATTGTTTTTAATATATAAATGGTTTGATTGGAAGATGGGAAAGATTGGACTCTGCCAAGAATTCTGGCTCGTAATAATTTTATATTCATTCATTTAGCGAGAGCTAGTCTCTGATTCCTATTTTGATTTCTTTCTTGGTCCCAGAATACATTATTTAATTTCTTATCACTTTAGGTGATTTTCTACATCTGGTTTTCTACTTTTCCTGTTCGTCCCTTAATTTCTTTATGTTCAGAAAATACTGACTTACCAATGGCCTACTTCTATAAATTTCCCCCCTGATGTTGGCAAGTGAAAGATTGGGTGTATTGTTTGTGCAGACACATGTATGTTTGTGCATATTTTTTCAACAGGGTCTGTTGTGTGTGTATTGTTCATGTTTTGAGTTTTGGTCGGCTGGTTCTCTTAAACATGTTAAAATCTTCTGTGACTGGGAATTTGTCTATCTGTGGATTGGTTAGTTTTTGTTTTCTATGTATTTGAAGTAAAGTTATCAGTTCTTAGTGTGTTAAAACTCTTCTTTTCCTGGTGAGTTGGCTTATTAGCCAATGTGAAGTAGCCTAATTAGCAATAGGCTGAGATTTTAAGTGTCCTTAAGCCTTTTTGTACTCAAGGCTAGCACTCTACCACTTGAAACACCATTTCTAGCTTTTTCTGAGGAGTCTTTTTCTAAGAGACCGATGGACTTCCCTTGCCCGGGATAGCTTTGAACCTGTATCCTTAGATCTCAGCTTCCTGAGCAGCTAGGATGACAGGCATGAGTCACCTTGCCCTGCCTGTCATTTAACTTTCAGGTGTGTGATTTTCCTCTGATTGCCAGGAGTTGAAATACTCTTCTGCTCTTCATTTAGTTGTCACTTCTCATGTAGCAGCATGATTTCCCGAAGTCTAACATTAACTGCTGACTCCACTTCCTCATCAGTGTGGGACTCTTCATCTCAGTTCTGGGAGCCTGAACCTCTCTGGTGTCTTTCATGTTTGTGTTTCGTGGGTGATGCCTTCCCGAGTGTTTGCCATGGCGATCTTGTACTGTGTGTGTTTCTATAGCCTTGAGACATTTCACTCTATAGTTGGATTTCTAAAGATGGTCATTTTCCTTTGTCAGCATTCTACTTTCTTGGTCATCTCTTTGTTATCTCTTCCTTAGTGATAGTATTACTTTTCATTCTCCACTTTTATCACTTCTACCATTTCAGGTTAGTTCTCAATACTGGAAATCTTTTTTATTTTGGAACTTCCTCTCTATTATTTCTTCTGCTGGTTCTTATTTGTGGTACTGTGTGTGTGTGTGTGTGTGTGTGTGTGTGTGTGTGTGTGTGTACGTGTTTGCATTATACGTAATTGGGAAATCATATTTCTTGGGTTTTGTTCTGGGATTATACTGTCTGGTTTGATAGTGAATATTACTAGAGAGGATTTTAAACAGTTACCATGGGCAGCTACCAACATGAGATCCTCTTTTATTTTTAATCCTAATGCTTTGTGAAACTTTTCCATCTGCGTTGGTGGCTGGACTTTGGTTGGTCACCTTACCTAGTGTCAAGGTCCTGGCCGGCATGCTTGTGTCCACTTTTGCATAGTTCCTCTTCCTCCTTTCATTTATCCTCTGTATCTCATGCTTTACGCAGGAGTCTGTATGCTTCAGGCCAGGGTGGCAATCTGTTTGGCTCTTTATCTTGTATCCCCGTGGACCATACAGGAAGTAAATAAACTCAGCATTCCAGTATTTCACAGGAATTATCAGAGTAAAACTAGACCTTGGCTCACCTCCCCCCACCCCTACCCCCCACCCGAGTCCTTGTGTTCATCTTATTGTCACACTCTTATTATTTTCTTATTTTCATGTCAGCCTAGTGTTGGCCTCATTTCCTTTTCTTCTTCCTTTTCTTTCCAAAATGAGCTAAGATGTGGTTTACCTTGTATTTTACTTTCTTAAGGTATAATAGTATTACACCTTAAGGAAACCGTAATGCAATCATAATGCATACTTTTTTCTCAATCTAATTTTATACATTTATGTTAACTTTCCTTGTCTTCAAAATCCTACCTGATTTGCTTTGTTCTCATATTTATGCTAACTTGGCACAGGATCAAGGAAAAATTGAGTGTAGCTAACACTTAGTCCAGATAGTACTGTTGACGGTACATAGATGACTGTGTCCTAGATACTGGGATAAGAGATTTGATAAAATATCAAAGATTTTCTGTCTCTATAAGATGTTGTTTTTTGCATATGTGAAACGTGAGTAAAACACCAAGAGCTTGGTGCAATATTGGTGGTTATACTTCTGGTTAAGGAATGTTTGAACAGAAAAATTTCAAATTATAACATACTAAGCTAGTAATCTGCCAAGGTGAAAAATAAAAGAGTGGATTTGTATCCAGGATCTCCCATTATGTTTGCACTTAAAAAAAAAAGCAAAAAAGCTAATGCCGTTGAATATTTGTCTTGATATTTTATTATATCTGGTAGGAGTCCATTATAAACATCATCAAACACAGCCAATGAAGCAGTGTCTCTGACCACATTCTGTACCTTCTTCCTCTTCAATCATAGCTAGTTAGCATTAAGTATCTTTCAGAGGTTTGTTCAGGATGAAACCTGTAAGTACAGAATTTATACATGTAGAAATTCAGTGATATAGCTGTAATTATTTACATATTATATGTCATTATTAATGTATTGAATTATTTATATATTACATAGAATTATTTATATATAGCATGCAAGTATATATTACATGTGATTTTTATGTTATGTAACATATGTAATTATATATTATATGCAATTGTTCACTACATATTACAAATATACTTATATGTATATTTTTCACTATTTCTACCTTGAACATCCATTTTGTAGTTTTGGGTGCGTGGATAGTCTTCTGTTTTCATAGCTTTCCACACCCATGCATTATTACAGAGTATAAATCTAGCTTTTCATTCCCTTGGATATTTTGTAGAGGGATTTCTTCGTGAGGTTATTTTCTTTGTAAGTGCTGCTGTTGTGAGCTGCACTGATGGACATTCATGGGGCTTGTCTGGGGTTGTGACGTGACTAGGGATCGCTGCAAGGTTGATGCTTTGCCACCACAGATGGCTGGAGCAAATGTGAAGCCCACCTATAATCAGACACATCTTTCGAACTTACCCCCGCCCCCAACCTTTTGTTACGAGTTTTACTCTGAAAAGGTGAGGGTGGGGCTGGTTCTACATAGGTGTATGGAAATCGTCAATAAAGAAGTGGAGGAAACACTTCAATGAGTGGTAGGCTTGTAATCCTTTGACCAAATCCAGAAACTGACAAGGAAACATAAAGATGAATTTGATCATGTAAGAAGATGTATCTTTATTTTTTAAATTACGAACAAGATAAAGACAAAGCTACTAAATAGAAAAAAAAGTGACCTAAAATAAAACATAAAATCATGACAGAGCACGGATTTCTTTACTATCCAAAGAGGTACTTTAAAACACTAAGAACAAAGCCAAGAAAATAGTGTCAGAGACAACACACAACTAGGAAACTCCTTTCCTCCAGTTGAGAGTATACAGTGTGCCAGATCTTGAACTCACTACTAAAACAGAAGACGACGCTCAACTCTAACAAATTTACCTGTGATAGAAGTGTTACTACAGCCTTTGTTTTTCCAGGTAGAAGCGTATAGATCAAACTAATGCTTACTTGTCTACATGTGTGGTAGTACTGGAGTTTTCTAGTTACTTCTTTGACCAAAATAAGTCTTCTGTTAGGAACTTCTGATTACTGGAAAGCAAAATCAGTGCTGTTCTCACAAGTAGAATGGCTGCTGGGCGATGTTCTTTCTCCTCATTAATGGGTCTCAAATCATACAGTGGAGTTTGATCTTGACAGTCCTTTATTAAAGGACATGTAATTCCATGGCTTCAAGAAGCTTGGCCAATAGGCTTGGTTTTACTACCAGTGCAAAATACACCTGCCAGGGTGACTGTGGAAGTCTCTGAGCTTCAAGGAAATGACATCGATGTGATTTGTCCACAGCACCTTTAACTGGACGGTCCCTTTCCTCTCGCTGCTGGCCTGCCTGATCCTTGCCATCATTACTGTCATCTTGTACTTCGTCCCTCTGCGTTACATCGTTTTAATCTGGGGTAAGTTTGCCTTGGTGTTCTTGCTAGCAGGCAGTTCGAGGTAAGAACCAATTACTCAACTCTTAAAGTACAACTGTGAACTTTTAAATGTGCTCTTGTTGGCAATTAAACATGAGACCAAAGGGAAGCATTTGGGGAAGAAAATCTTCCAGGATCTCCCTGGAAAGCCCAGTTGCATGAACGATCTGTATAGATATTTATGGCGCCCTTGCATCACTGTGATCAAATAAAAAAAAATGTGACTGCGCAGGCCATTTCTCTCCCGGTTTTCCCCAGTCATAAATCCTCTGGAACAATACATTGCTGCGGCCGGTAACTTTCCAGAAACGCTGAGGCCCGCACTGCAAGCATACACCTGCATCTTGCCCCTGTGCATGCTGTAAAAGTAGATTTAGTTGCCCACCAGGTTGCTCGTATTACTTCATCTCTTTGGGAGACAATAATAACTAAACTCAGGCCATACTCAAATCCAGAAGGAATGGGTGAGGGAGGAGACTTTCTGTGACTACTTGAGCGATGTTGCCCGTTGAGGGGTGGGATCTGGGTTGACTGACGGGAGGCACAGGGAGGTGTCAGACCTGTTTGTTGAAGAAGCTGATACAGCCTTTATCTGTGGCTGTGTGGTTTCCATCTTCTCAGGTAAAGACGTGCAGGAAGTTGACTTAGGTGAGAGGCTGCTTGGACATGCATTCACCTGGGGCAGTAGCGGAGGACCTACAATTGCTTGGTTAAAAAAAAAAATCTACCATTCTTGTAGAACCATGAAGAACATCTCCAGATATAGAACTCTGGTGAGATATGGAAGTCAACACTAGACATTCAGGAATGGAGACAGAGACTGAGAGAGAGATAGAGAGATGGGGGAGGGAGGGAGGGAGAGAGAGTTATGGGATAAGTATGACAATTCATATCACTATAGGACAAGAAAGATATTGAGAGACTATAATCCAATCGTTCCTGTGTTGTTTAATCTTTTAGTAAGTCCGGGTAAAGAAGAAGCAACATTCTAGCCCTCTCTTCATGGGTCCGAGTCCTCTCCTAGTCACGCTAAGGATTTGTTTAGTTGGCAACAACACTACCACTGTGATCCTGAATGGGGAACTGTGAACTTCTTTGGTGGCACACTGATTATGCCAAAGTTTTTAGCTGAAGACTTCATATACTAAATCTTAATGTACATTGACTGAATAATCTCTTCCCCCCTGTAAGAATTAGTTTCCAAATCCAATTATAGACCACATTTAAACCTCAAAATTTTCTGTTTGATCCTACCCAGGTGTGATTCCTTTGATGTGTTTTGTTCATTTTCAAATTCATGTAAGTTGAGTGTCACAGTTGGGGACATGCTTGGTTCCATGCATCTTTTTGTCCACAGAGAAGGCTGATACAGCCATCCACCGGTTGTTTTTTTTTTTAACAACCCACTGTGGATACCCAAACATCACCCCAAAACCAGAAGCTCCCGTCCAGTAAATAAATGGCACCAACTCTACACATAACCTCTATATATTCTGGCACCAATCTCTATGAATACGATATAATTGTTACACTGTATTGCTTAGGTAATAGTGACAAGGAAAAAAAAAACCCTGTACATGTTCTATATAGACATGATGTTTGCTAATACTTTCAATCGATGGCTTGTGGAATCCAAGGATGTGACCCCTGTAGGCACCTCCTGTGTTGGTCTGTCCCAATTTCATTGCCAAACTTAGGATTCCTCCCTTCTTCCTATTTACCCAAATCACTTGATTGCTGATCTGATCCTCCAATTGGCAGGTTTCCAACAAAAACAACAACAAAACAACTCTATGCATTTACTTAATGAAACACTGATTCCATTTACGGATAAAACTGGAGTTTATTATGCTCTCTCCTGGGCCAAAACATTTTGAGTTTTATACTCTAGTTCTAGGTTCCACACAGAAGCTCATAGTTTCCTGATGAGCTTACTAGTCAGAAGCTATTGCCTGGCTCATCGTGGAAAACCTGTGAGCTCACCCTGGAATATGTTCTGTAGTTTTATTAGGACTTTTGTCTTTTCCCCAGCCTATTTGTTATTTACGTGTATGAAGGTTCTAATGCTTTCTCCTTTTTTAATCTTTATGAAGACATAAGTTAACTGTTTTAACTCCTAAAGTAGACCAAGAGCCCAAAATTTGCTAGGTGATTTTTTTTTTCCTCCAGAGAATAGAACACATCTGCACATAGGTTCTAGACTCCCACATTCTCCATAAACATCAGGAAAGCAGTTGGGTCATCGGGAAATTATCTTGCTGTGAATGGTTGCTAACAATCTGTGTACTGCAACGCCAGCATGTGAGCTCACCTGGAAGATGGAGTGCGTGATAACTTAGGATGGGGTGGTGGTAATGAGAGCGAGGTTCAGCGTTTGAGATGCCAGTACACTATACAGTCTCTATCCTTGGTAGCTCTACCTTGGGCTTTGGGCATGCTCAGAAGACACTCTACCCAAGGTTTCCTGTATACAAGAGACTTCCTCCCAACCACCCTTTTCCTTCTATTCTGTTCTTTGGAGGTGCTTTTCCCGTATCTAGAACTCTTGTGTGGGAGGTTTTTTCTTTTCTTTTCTTTTTGTCAGTGGTGGGGCTTGAACTCTGGGCCTGGGTGCTGTCCCTCAGCTCTTCAGCTCCAGGCTAGCACTCTACCACTTGAGCCACAGTGCCACTTCCGGTTTTCTGAGCGGTTTATTGGAGATAAGAGTCTCCCTGCCTTTCCTGCCCAGCCCAGGCCTCCTGAGTAGCTAGGATTACAGGCGTGAGCCACCATGACTGGCTGGAGATTTTTTTTTAACTGACAAGTAGGTGTTCAATCAAGTTACAAAAGTTTTCCTTAGGAAACATCTACTGGAATTTAGAGACTTATTTGAAAGCCTTATTTCCAGAAGAGCCGAACTCACAAACTGCTTTGTTGAGTGGCAACTCCTTTATACAACTACTTAAAGAAAATTTTAAAGAATGATAAAAAATAAAATATACTACTGAAAAGGAAGTTTATGATTAAAACAGTCAAGAAAGCATTATTTTGAAATTAAAAAAAAGATTCCAGGACTTCCCCCCCCCCCCTTCATACACACTCAGATAACCATTGCTCAGTTGGATTTGAGTTTGCTAGGAGGGTATAAATTCCCTGAGCTAAAATGTAGGATCCACAACTCATTTACCTTTGACTCTCCAGTTGATAACATAATCTTTCTTATAGGAAAAACTTTCAGGGTTTTCCAAAAGAATATGCAGGCTCTTCTGCCCCACTGAAAGTTATTTACTCAGGGCCCCTTGCTACTTACCTGTACAAGTGCCTGATAATAAAGTGATGATATGTTTTTCTTTCCTATGAGAGGGTTCCAGTCTGCCTCATCGATCATTTGGCCTATGATCTAGGGCCATTAATAGTTCTTTTCTTTTCTTGTCTCCCCCACCCCCCCAATCTTATCCCTTGTCTTTTTCTGTTTTCTTCTTGGCTGTAAAAACAAGAAGAAAATTGAAAAAACAACAACGACAATGACAGTGGGCATGCTGATGTCTACAGCTTGGCTGTGATTGCATATCTAACAGCACAAAACCTCGTTATCCTGTATGTCATGGGAAATTTCCAGACTACAGATCACAGAATCCTCTTGCCTGTGGGATCCGGTGATATTGTATCAACCCTGGAAAAACATAGGGCAACACTTTTATTATAAAGATTTCATTTGTACTAGATACTAGGTGGAAAATGAACTATACCACTTGTGGGCCAGGGAAAACCTAGGAGAGAGAAGGGAAAGGGTTCAAAATTGGCATCAAAAGAAATGTATTCTTTATTTGACTCACGTAACTGTAACTTACGTATCTATAGACATCACCTCTACAATAACAATAAAATGTATTTATGTAAAAAGAAAAGATTTCATTTGTGGGATAACAAGAAACAGAGGAGGGTTAAGTATTTTGCCTGAAACCACACAGTTAATACATTATCAAGCTTGATCTGGGGCTCGGATTTTCCTGCTCCATAACCTTTGTTACATTGTCCCATCACGTTTTACCATGACCCAGGAGTTATGATCTGCTCACCCTTGATCTTCCATAACAGATAATATGGTGGAATCACTCAAATAGTCATGACTGAGAGACCTTAAAAAAATAAGGTGTACTTTTGAAGCATGAGATCTGAATGCCTTGTAATTTTTATTCAAAGTTTCCCCCCCCCAAATGTAGACAGTTCTAGTGCATTGTGGACTACTTCTGCCTTTATTGGTGCATTTGAGCTACTGTGCAGGTTTATAATCTTCTCAGTGACTAAGAATGCAGTGTTTTGATCGGCTGTGATATTATCCCTGCCTTGCTGTTCATTGTAAAGACTCCAGATGCGCGCACTATATATAATTAACAATGGGAGATATATCTTTTCTCAATACGTCTTTGTTTCCCTTCATCATTCTGCCTTGTCTGTTTTCTTTTGCCAAAAAGCCCATGCTACAATTAAATGTCTTTAGAATAACACAGCAAGAGTATTTTGGTTTAAAAGGAACTCTGGGGTGGAGGGGTAGTTAGAAATATGAGGCTTGCAAGTCGGGGTAGAGGGAAGAAAGGCAGAGCGCAGCTTTGACAATGGAAAGATGATCGTTTGCAGAGAACTTTTCCCCCTGGCCACCATTTACCCATGAACAATGGCTGCCCCCCATTTGCAAAGCAGATGCAAATCTGACCCCCCAAAAGAAAAGAACCAGGGACTGGCATTGTGTTAGGTATAATGCTGTGCAGGAAGTCTAGTCTTTAGATGAAAGCAAAGTCATATTTATTGAACAAAAGAAAACATCAAACCTTGTGGGTCAGTGGTGTGTGTGTGTGTGTGTGAGTGCGCACGTATGTGTGTTGGGAACTGTTGAACTTAACATTTAGAGCACACCTACCTGAAGAATTCATTCAGCATCATTGGGGTTGACAGGGCTTCGGATACGATCCTTGTTAAGCACTCTGTGGCAAAACTTCAGAAGGCCACCGAATCTTTCTGCTTCTAAACCTCAACAGAAAAAAAAGAAGTTGTCTTTTTTTTATAGGACTATTGTTCATGAACTCTGGATTGCAGCCCTGAGGAACATGGTAGATACTCAAGCATGATTGAGAGGAAGTCTCTCCTCTTACAGGAGAGAGCTTGGGAGATGTGCTCTGGGCATGCCCAAAGTTACAGCGACCCAAGACAGAAGCTTACAGTATACATTGATGTCTTCAATGCTGGACTCCCCCCTTCTCATTACCCTTGGCTGGTCTTCAGTTGGCACACCTTTCACCGCCCAGCAGCTAAACCCACATGCTGGCGGTGCATTCTATACATTAAAGTTAGCTCCCATAGTCAGATCATTTTCCAATAATAACTTTCCTTTTTTCACAGTTTCCTGAAGCAAAGTACAATCGACATGTCAAGTTCTGTTCTGGAGAGGGAAGGGGGGAAAGAGAGAGAGAGACAGAGACAGAGACAGAGACCTGTGAAAATAAGTTGGAAGTAGAGACTGGGGTCGGGGGATTGTTGCGGTTTGTGTTTGAGAAGGAAAACTCTCGCTTTCCGCTCCCCCCAGTCACATTGGGTCCACAGGCTCCAAGCAGAGACTTGTTTTGGGTAATGAAGGCCTTTTCCCCTCTGGGACGTTTGTGTTCATAGATGAGGAGGCTGTTAATCAGCCATCTTCCAAAAGTGAAAAAAAAGAAAAAGAAGCCAATGAGCTCCCCAGTTGTAGCGTGTTTCTTGCTGCCGTACTGCTGGGATTGTAATGGGCTTTTTCACAGCTGAAGAGGAGAGAGAGCCCCTCTTCTACCATTCCCCGCTCACTCCCCCCGCCCCCCAGCTTCTTTCCTTCACAGAAAAAAAAATCTTTGTGAGTGATTTCAAATGACAGATGTGCATGACTTGCAATCTCGTCATTGTTTTCACACTAATTTTTACTTGTGAATGCTGCCCCCCACCCGCCCATCAGGCAAAGTCTTTTAAAGATAGATATATTCGAGGGCTTCTATGTTTTCGTTCCAGGCATAAATAAATTTACGAAGAAGCTTCGAAATCCCTATTCGATCGACAATAATGAGCTACTAGACTTTCTCTCCAGGGTACCATCGGATGTTCAAAAGGTATGTAGTCAATGGTTGTAGTCCATGGTCGCCACTAACAGGGGCATGCAAGCCTGGTGCTGTAGGGGTACAGGGCTTTTGCTTGTGTCATTGAGAACAAAGAGCCAGGAAAAAAAATCCCCTCCCCAAAATGGAGACCTGGCTTACAGGGAGGTGCAAAACCACACAAATCCAAACACCTGGTGCCTAAAGCTTGAGAGGATGGTGAAAATTATCCCGAGAAAGAGGTCCTTAGGAACGATTGGGAGCTCACACTGAGCTGCGGCCGTTGTAGTGGCTGGTTGGCGTTCCTTTCCGCTTTGATTGCTCGTCTCTCTAAAGAGGATAAGATGAGCTCAAGGACTGGAATCACATCCGATCCGCACCGGACGGGTGTTCCTTTCTGCTGCTTCTGGGTGGCAGGCATTTTCTGGGGAAGTATGAGGACAAGAGGATTATTACTATTATTATTATTTCTGCTTGTTTGCCCCCAGTTATTTCCCGGGCCTCCCCTTTTCTCTCCTCCTTCCTTTTAAAGACTTTAGGGATGCTAAGGGCGAAGTCCCTGCTTTTCTCTAATACACGTCGTGGAAATAACTTGAGATCAATCGCAAGTATTATTCACAGGGAACAGACGCTTAGTCCAGCAGCGTCTCATTTTTTGTGGATAACCAGGCTTACAAAGGCAGCGCAGCCCCAGAGAACAGCTTGAGCAGCGGTCCTGCAGATTTAGCCTACTCTCCGTGTAGAGGAAAGGAAGGCAGGGAGCTCTCTCTCTAATACTGAGTAGGTAGGTGGGAGACCGTGGTGTGAAATCATGACCATCAAAGGCACAGTTCCTAATTCTCAGAGAGAATCCCAAATCAAATATTGATTTTTTTTTCTACTGTGAGGTCTCCTGGAACACAACCGGCCCCCTGATATCTCCGGGTGGATTTGAGATTCCTGGGGCCTCCAGTTCTCAGAATTCCTCTCCCTCTTAATTCCACGTTTTTGGAGATTAAAACTGACCATGACGCTATTTTATCCCCCACTTTGGCCTTCATTTCCTGATCCACTTCACTGTTGAAATGCATCTTTTTCTTTCACATTGGTGTGACACAATTAAAGATGACCTGGACTCTGCTTTGTGGGGGATGATCATCTTTTTTGTCCCTTAGACGGTCACCAAACACTAGAAGGAATAGTGGTGTTTTATTTTTAATCTTTGCATGTATCTGCTTTCGGCCTCTGGTAGCCTATCTACTGATTGGGCAGAATGTCCTTGGGGACAATTTGGCACAAATGCTAAAATGAGCGAGCCCATGGGGTCAGTCATACAATCGTTTCTACCAGTGCCTGTCCCAGCCACACAGCTAAGTGGTGGGTTTGCATTGTCCCATCACTGGGGGGATGGGGGTGCCCTGTGAGGTCCAGGCTGTATCCTCAGAGAAGAGAAGTTTCCATCAAGCCCCTTGCTGGACTGTCTATGCAGAGAGAAGAACCAGTCCTCTGGGAGTGGCCTTCCAGCGGGAGTTGGCTTGTGTACAGGGAGATTCAACAAAAAGAATGTTTGCAAGTGGCTCCTGGCCTGGTGAAGAGGGCATTCTTTTTTTTTTTTGTCGGTTGTGGCCTGGGCGCTGTCCCTCAGCTCTTCAGCTCAAGGCGAGCGCTCTACCACTTGAGCCATAGTGCCACTTGTGGCTTTTTCTGCTTATGTGGTGCTGAGGAATCGAACCCAGGGCCTCATGCATGTGTGGCAAGTGCTCTACCACTGAGCCACCTTCCCAGCCCTCGAAGGGGGCATTCAAACAGCACTATGCCACAGTGCCAAGGGCATCTCCCTGAACGCCCATGCCTGACTCAGATGTTTTAGCCATTGTATTGGAAGCAGAATTAATTTCTTTTAAAAGAGAACTTTATAGAAGTCTGGGGGCCCTGTATCAATTTCTGCCATTTCTTTCCCCTCTTAGGGAAAATAAATGACTCTAATTGGCTGAGATTTTAGGTTTATATATATATATATTTAGATGAATAAATCTCCCTAAGTTAAGTGTGTCCTCGATGAAGATAAACATTCCCAAGAGGCGGTCATTAAACTTCCTTATGGTTGAAAATTGGCACAGTGCACGAAACTTAGATCATCTGGCCTGCCCGGCGCAGGTAGAATTCCACGCATCTCATTAGGAAGGCAAGGGGAGAGAAAAAAAAATATCTGCTTTTGATATTTTTGGGGGTTTCAAGAAATGATGCATGGCTTCTCAAATCCTTCCTGCAATTAATTCTCCCACCCCAACCCGCCTGCCCCCAACCCATGTTCTTGGCGTTCAGAAAATGATTCATTACCTTTGACCCTTCCTCCTGGTGCCTTGGGGAGTCATTAACACACTCGGTGGTAAGCTAGGGTTACCTAACCGCCCGCTTCGCTTCTGCTTGTTTTCACAGGTGCAGTATGCAGAACTGAAACCCTGTGGCAGCCAGAGTCCCCTTAGGAAGAAGCGCAGCACTCTCTAGAATGTGTGCCCAACCAAACTGGCATCCAGACATGCGGCCCTGGGCTGTGTAGACCCCTCCCTGGATCCTGTCTTCTTCTTCTTCACATGCAGCCATCTCTACGCCTGGGTGTCTCAGATGCAGAGACCCAGCCACTCACCCAAAAGAACCCAGCCCCTCCCCCCAGGAGACAACATGGAGTCTGGATCAGAAGATGCTACCGCAGCAGCACAGTTTGCACTGGCTTGAAGAATGAACCCCTCCCACCCCCACCCCCTGGGGAACAGCAGGAGACCCACATGGGTTCCAGAATAATTCTGACTTCCACCCCCTCCACCCCTCCCTCCAGCTGATTCTCATTACTGTCTTGTTATTCCCCGTTGGGTATGGTGGCACACAACTGTAATCTCAGCTTCCCCCCCCCCCCGGCCAGGGGTTGGGGGGAGAGGCTGAAGCATACAGATGGAAAGTTCTGTATCAGCTTGGACTGTGTGGTGGATGCCAGGCCCGGCTGGCTGAGCTACATGGCCACAGCCTGTCTCCAACACAATCTCTTCACCCCTACCCCCATTCTTCTTGCAGGGTATCCCTCAAAGTTTCTTTCAATTTAGTGAGTCTGTGGTAACCATCATCTAGACGGATAAATATATAACAGAAGAAGAAGAAGAAGAAAAAAACATTTGTAATGCCTTCCGGAAGGAATCCAGGCCTTTGGAGGACCTGTATGTTGCACAGCTGGGTGCCAGCCTGCACCTTGGTCCATTGCTGGCCTAGAGGGGTCCCCAGGGATCTGTTTTCAGCAAGGATTGTGTCACCTTCAAAATGCCAGAGCTCCTGCCTCAGCGTAACCACCGCTCTCCATAAACAGTATGTCAGCCTGGAGTTAGGGAAAGGCCGGGCTGTTGTGAGGATGGGAGGAGGGGGTGAAAAAAATTAATTCTGAGAGTATTGAGATGGCTGCATGGAGAAGACTGAGGGAGCAGCTGCTGACTGAAATATATCACCATTTCGGTCTTGTTCTGGATCTCTCTCTCTCTCTCACTTTTTGCTTCTCTGTGGTCAAAATAAGCTATCTACAATACAAATTTGTCTCAGAGCCACACTTGTAAGAAAGATCCCACCCCGAAGTGTTCTTTTGCTTGTACCTAACTCCTGCACATATCCAGTCCCACTCACCAAACAAAAAAGCCTCGACTTTGTGCATATCTGGAATGTATACAAGGATCTGTGTCCGAATGATATTTAATCTTCAATGACTGATGTTCATGCATACCTTAACATGCAATTTTATATGTGTATGTATTGTAAAGAAAGGTTGGGGTAAAAAGACCTAATTTAATAGTGACTTTACTGTGTGTGTACGTGGTTTTTTTCCCCCCTTTTGTCTCTGGGTTGTAATTTAATAATAATCAAACAAAATGTTTATGAGAAAAAGCCGACCATTCTAAACCTTATCTTGTGTCTGTTTCTTTCTTTCTTTCTTTCTTTTTTTCTTCATATTGTATCTTCGTAGGTTTCTTTCTGGTAGAGACAGATTTCTGCATGATTTGATTTGCTTCAAGTTATTGAAGCTGGCTGGAAAAGAGCCTTGCAGAGATTATAAGAGCCTCCGTAAGTCTCTTAGTTGTACGTACAATAGATACCCAAGAAGCTCTTTTGTTGAACGAGTTACTCAATCTTCTGGGTAAACAATGCTTTCATTGTCTTGCTCCAAACTATCACCCAGCTTATCATCCGTCATTTTGTAAGGACCGAAGTCAGATATATTTTTTTTAAGCTGACATGTGAGATCCGATTAGTCATTTGAATAAAAAACTTTCCAGGAGCAAAATAACCCCTTATTTTTTTTTTAAATGAAACTGCTACTTTATTGTTGTTCTTGTGCGACAGAATTTCAAAATGAAACAATTTTCCCCACGGGAAAGCAACCTTAGCTAGGACTTATTTCCTTCTTAGTCTAACTGGAATTCTCAGTGTTGAAAGTTTGCGGGGGGGGGGGGGGGGGGGGAAAAAAAAGGGGGGGGGGGGGGGGGGAGGGGAACCAAAGACGGGCTGTGAGGGATGGAGGAGCTAAATGGAATCAACCTTAATAGACATTAGATGAAAACAATTAATTGATTAAAAGGACATTCCACATTCAAAGTTGCAAGGGACCTGTCAGATGAATGGAAACCCAGTGGTTCCTGGCATCCTGGCGGATTTGCCAAAAGCCAAAGTCACTACCCATCCTTGTAATTAATCCCTTCTCCCTCTCCTGTGGAGAAAAGAGCTATATTCCATTTACTCAGAGTTTTGTCTTATCATTTAGAGAACTTTCACAGTGTCACCTAAAGGAAGCACTTTATGATTTCTCTTTGGCACATTCCAGTTCCTCACCTCCCTTGCTCTTGAGCTCACAGGCCAGTAGTGAATAAAATGCAGGTGTCTTGAATGACCGGAAGGTGTGCTGGTATGTATTTGTGTCCCAGCTGTGAGGGTGAAGTAGAAGGGAGGATCCTGGTATTAGGCCAGCCAGTGGAGAGTCTATCAAGAAAGTATGGCTAGCACCATGGGCTAGTGCTGTGACTTGAGCCATTGAGAAGTTGGCAAGGCCATGACTTCCATCATCAGTACCTCAAAGAAACGATGGAATTTGTGCATTACAAAATCCAACAGATTAACATTGCAACATGCTGTTTGAAGTTCTGATCATTATTTTTTTTCTCAAAAATTGATTAGGTGATTCTAAGATCATATGGAAATACAAGAGTGTTAAGAACAGCCCAAGCAATATTGCATCAAGTGAACATTAGCAGATATCAAGATCTATGATAAAGGTATGATAACTGAGACCATGGGGATATTGGTACAAAAATAGTCTAAACCATCAAAGGAGGAGGAAAAGCAGGAAGTAATAGACTTTCATGCGTATTTGGCAACATGTAGCTTAAGTTGTTTCAAAATTGACATATTTGCAGGGATGGGGACAAAAACTTTTTGGAAAATTCTAGTGAGATACTTTAGTGTTAATAGGGATAAAATAAAAACATTGGTATCTGCCTTACCCCATAGACAAATATGGATTCCTTGTAATATCCAATCCAAAGTAGAAAAAGATTTCAGAAACAAAAACAAGATTTTCATATATGTGTGACAAGCAAAGACATCAAACTAGAAATAAATTTAGTAAAATATGTATCTTCTAAGTAGAGAATAAAATACAAAGCAACAAGATGGAAATTATATAGAGAAATGAAATAATATGCCCCTAAATGACCAACAGGTGATAGAAGAAAGCAAAAGATAAAATTTTTAAAAAAAATCTTGAGATAAAGACAAAGCCTGCTATGAAACTTCAGACTGGGTAAATGAATTGGTTTGAAGAAACTTCTCTCTGATTTGGGCCATGACTGAACTGCATAATAGATAATAACAGATCCTGTTATCCATTCACTTTTATTATATTGTAATCACCATGTTGCGTTACTTCAGCCCATAGTAGAAAGTATTTATGTCAGGATTGGGGAAACCACGAAGCTAGGAACTGCATAATAGTAGAAATACCATTTATGCTGTGATTTGCAGTCTTGGATCTTTGCTCAACACTGAACACAGGTCTGGATTTCTTTCTGACTCTGGCTTGTGTTGTTCGTTAGAGAACTGCGCAGAACTCGGTCTGGTACAGAGGTGTTAGGTGTGCACACTGGGAATGCGTGTACACGCCTCAGCACCCCCACCCTTGGCCAGGCTAATAAGATAGAGTCACCTAAGGAATTCCTCCTGTTTTAATAGGTTTGTCAGAGGGTTGCATAGGACTCTCTGAAAGATGAGTTACCGGGGTGAACATAAGCTTTCCATTCCATGACCTGACAAAACTCCTCCCACCAGACAGCATCTTTTAGGATATAAATCGAGCTGGGCTCAGATTTGTAAAGAATTCTTTTAATGCTGGATGGAAAGTTAGCTTCTTGGCTTTGTAACCTTTGGACAGTTAAACTCACCACGACTTGGTTTTCTGAGCCTAATATGTGGGGAGAGAGTGCATGTGTGTGTGTGCGTGCACACACGCACGTGTGCATAAAATGTAGCATTTTTTGCACATATACAAAGGTGTGAAGAGGAAGGAGAGTGATAATGTTCATTGTTGAAGCACATTGGAAAGTGCAAGCCATTTCTGTATCATCTGTCTTCGTCAGTTAGTGTGGCTTACTAGAAACCCAAGTGCCAATTTAAGATAATCGATATCCCTTAACATAAACTCCAGATTACCTGAGAAATGTATGATTCTGTAGACTTCTGCCTTCTTTTCCTGCATCATTAACAAAGGCTGTCATTTAGCTTTTCTGTATTTGAGATCAGGATGTCACTGTCCAGTCCAACTCCAATGTTCCTTGTTACCCTGTTCACTTTCTCACACCTGGGCTATTCTTCCTTTACCCTGGTGGCCCATATCTCTGGGTTAGGGGAGCTGGTGTCTTTCTGGTCTTGATTTTTCTCCCTGAATATACTGAAGAACACATATTAATGTCTTTAAGACTCCCTCAAAATTAGGCGTAGCAAACTGTTATTTAGATGGCAAGATTCAACAACAAAAGAGGAAGTCGACTGATTAAACATGGGAAAAGACATTTTTTTTTTCTTTCCGGACCACAGACAAATGGTCAACATGGGGAAAAAAATCTGTTCCACATTGCTAACCCTCAGGGAAATGGGAACCCAACCAGTCAGATATCAATTGACACCTATTAGGAGGCTTTTATGACAAAGTCAATAGACACTTTGTTCTGGCAAGGATGTAGAGACAAGGGGCCCCTCATGCATTGTTCTTGGGCAGGCAAATTATGTGAATGGACACAGCCATTGTACAAAACATCATGTAGGTTACCTCATGGTTTCAACTAGCACTTCTGTATAACTGAGCAGTCTCACTTCTGGGCATAAATCTAGAAGTCAGTCTGAGTGAAATGAGCTGATGGAAGACATATCTAATCTCCCATCTTGATTGCTGCTCATTTTAATAATAAGGTGTGGAGGACAGTAGAGAAAGTTACATCTCTAGCACAGGAGCATTAGAACAACATACCTTTCTGCTAGCAGATAAAGGGATAAATGGAGTACTACTCAGCATTGAATAGAAACAAATTCTGTCACATGAATAAACATGAGTAAATCTGGAGAACATTAAGTGAAATAAACCACATGCAGGAATCGAGATATGGCATAATTGCACTTTTAGGTGGAATATGAAAAGGACAAACACGGTCAGAGTATAGAAGCATAATTTGTGTGTGTGTGAGAGAAAGTGTGTGTGAGTGCGTGTGTGCATGTGTGTGCTAACTCTGGGACTTGAACTCGGGGCCTGAGTACTGTCCCTGAGTTTCTTTTGCTCAAAGCTAATGCTCTACCACTTAAGCCACAGCTCTACTTCTGGCTTTTTTGGG